TGAAAAGGCAGAAAACATTATTAAGAATTTCTAGACTGTCCCTGGCTGGGTAGCTCAGTTGGTTAGAGCATTGTCCCCAATACGCCAAGGCTGTAGGTTCGATCCCTGGTCAGGGCACATACAAGAATCCACCAATGAATGCATACTTAAGTGGAACAACAAATTGATGTCTCTCTCTCTCTCTCAAATCAATAAATAAAAATGTAAATAAAATTCTAGACTGTGACAGCAGTGCATTAAACCAAGGGCAGGGCCTTTTACACCAGAGTCCTGTGCCACTAACTGGACTGTACAGGTCTCCCGGGGCCCGTGGAGCTGGCCCTGCCTGGACTTGGAAGGAAGCCCCCCCTCACTCACCATCAATGTCAGCACTCATCAGGGCATCATCCACCTGGGCCGGCGTCAGGGAGATGCCCACGAGGAGCAGGACGTTCTGCAGGCTGTGTGCGTCCACCACGCCAGGGCCATTGAAGATCTCAAAGTAACTGTGGAAGGCTGGGCCGGAGTGGGGTGACGTAAGGGGGAACATTTCTGTTTCCACCATTCCTCCCCTCCCCTCCAGCCACCCTCTTGCCCAGTGTCCTCTACTAGCATGGCCAGGTGGCAGGACAAAGGAACTGAAAGAGTGAGAGTGGAAAGGTGTGGTCCCATCGACTTACTCCACTCTATACAAGGTCAGGCCAAGGGCTCAGCTGGTGTGGCAGAAGCTAAGCTAATTAGCAACCTTCGCTTTGCACCAGGAGCACCCCTCTGTGTGCCAGGCACCGTGCTACGCTCTCTATAGCCAGGTTCTCGTTTAATTCTCACGACAGCCTTGTGAGAGTAGAATGCCTTTAACCAGTCCTTTAACCTTTAACCTTTAACCAATGCCTTTAACCTTTCTTGAGGTTGGGGAAACTGCGGTGACCCGACAGGCCTTTCTGACTTGGGTGCTCTGTGGGCCTTTATCTGCACGGACATGGCTTCTAGGCTCCAGTTATCTGGACCCGAGCACAGGACCAGGCAGGATGCCGAGAAAGCCCCAGAGCCGTGCCGACTGGTACAAAAGCCGTGTCCTTCCTGGTCAGAGCGTGTGTGGTGTCTGGTTTCTTAGCTCACAGCAAAATGCGGGTTAGAATCATCAGACCTAGTACGAAGACGGGCTCTGAATTACTGTCGTGGGCCGATTGTGTCCCCTAACCTCAAATTCCCATGCTGAAGCCTTAACGCCCCGTACCTTAGAATCCAATCTAACAACATATTGCAACAGATTGAATGCAGAAGTAGATATGAGAATCCAGCTCTCTTATGCCCGATGTTAAGAGATTTGCAATATTGTAAAAAAAAATGTCATTCTTCTTACGGACCTGTTTTGTTGTTTTGGAAAACAGTTATTTTTCATTAAAAAAAAAATAAATGAACAGGTGCCAAAACACTAGGTGCTATTTCTATGTCCCCAGCCCTCCCCCTTCCCACAGCCAGCCCTACTCACTTGGTGATCTCTTCTAAGGCCGCCTCAGGTAAGGCCAGCATCTCCACCAGCAGGGACAGGATCTCAAAGAGCAGAGTGTGGGGGTTCGGGGGAGCCGTCAGGGCGTTCTGTTCTGGGGACATGGGATGGTGGCTGCCATTACCACTTGCTCGCCCTGGGTGCACCCCACCCCACCCACCGTTCCCTGGGTCATCCCTGCTCACCCACGGAGCAGAAGAAGCGCTTGGTGTCTGTCATTACGGCCAAGAAATCTTTGAAGCCCACGTGACCATCTCCTGTGGAGGCCGGAAGAAGACAGGGTGGGCAGGGGCCTTCCGAGTGGCTCCAGGCATGGCAACCCGGGCATGATTATTAGCATTTACTCATTGAGTCTGATTATAAAAGTAACGTATAGATGACCAGCTGGTGTGGCTCAGTGGTTGAGCGTCAATCCATGAGCCAGGAGGTCACGGTTTGATTCCCAGTCAGGCCACATGCCTGGGTTGCAGGCTTGATTCCCAATAGGGGGTGTGCAGGAGGCAGCCAACCAATCAACGTGATTCTCTCTCATCATTGATGTATCTATCTCTCTCCCTCTCCCTCCCTCTTTCTGAAATGGAAAGCCCCAGAGCCGTGCCGACTGGTACAAAAGCCGTGTCCTTCCTGGTAAGAGCGTGTGTGGTGTCTGGTTTCTTAGCTCACAGCAAAATGCGGGTTAGAATCATCAGACCTAGTACGAAGACGGGCTCTGAATTACTGTCGTGGGCCGATTGTGTCCCCTAACCTCAAATTCCCATGCTGAAGCCTTAACGCCCCGTACCTTAGAATCCAATCTAACTGGTGTCCTTATAAGAGGAGGAAATTTGGACACAAAGAGACCTCAGGCATGTGCTCACACATACGGAAGACCATGAGAGGACACAGGGAGAAGGCAAGCCACGCAACGAGGCCTCGGAACACACCAAACATATCCACAACATGATCTCAGACTCCGGCCTCCAGAGCTGGCCTGCCCCTCTCTGAGCCTCGGTTTTCTTCTCTGTAAGATGGACATAACAGCGCACCCTCCGAGAGCGGCTGTATTAATTCCATGCCTGGCACATAATGGACTCTGTAAGTCTGTAAGCCTCTGACACAGAGTGACACGGGGGGAGGAGATGGGGCAGGGCAGTGGTGGGCAAACTGCGGCTCGCGAGCCACATGCGGCGCTTTGGCCCCTTGAGTGTGGCTCTTCCACAAAATACCGACTTCTGTGCATGGGCCACGAAGTTTCAATCGCACTGTATGTGCGCGCCTGCACTTGGGTTTGGGCGATAGTGACGTGCTGTGAGCAGCCACATTGAAAAAAGAAAAAACACAACAACTCTGAAAAGCAAATCCCATCGCCCAAAATGCAGGGCAGTTTGGAGCATCAGAGCAGCGTAGCCAGCTCTTTCCTCGCCAGGTCGGGTCGAGGGTGGTGCTGGGAACCCTGGGTCTCTAAGCCAAAAAGGCATGCTGCCCATGAACTCTACTGGAGGTGGGGCAGCGGGTCCTGTACTTAGAAAAGCCCAGCCAACAATGGCTTAGAGCAGTGGTTCTCAACCTTCCTCATGCCGCGACCCTTTAATACAGTTCCCCATGTTGTGGTGACCCCCAACCATAACATTATTTCCGTTGCTACTGCATCACTGTCATGTTGCTACTGTTATGAATCGTCATGTAAATATCTGATATGCCGGATGTATTTTCATTGTTACAAATTGAACATAATGAAAGCATAGTGATGAATCACAAAAACAATATGTAATTATATATGTTTTCCGATGGTCTTAGGCGACCCCTGTGAGTTCAACCCCCAAGGGGTTGCGGCCCACAGGTTGGAGACCCACAGGTTGAGAACTGCTGCCTTAGAGGGTCTTAATGCAGGAAGGTGTGAACTTCAAGGAGGGGGTCATGGGGAGCCAGCAAGTGCATTCAAGAAAGGCAGAGGGTCCAGGCTTTGGGAGGAGTGAAGGGTGGGGGAGGACGCACACCCACTCCTTTAGGGCCAGGCTGATGAGGCCACCTCTGGAGCCCACAGAAAGCAGTGCTCCCTCCCCCTGCAGCTCAGTAGGTGGGGTCACAGGGTGTGTGTTCAGAACTTGTACATTTTGGGGTGGGAGTGGGAAATGGAGACCAGTCTAGGACAGCCAAGCACCCTGGAGGCTGCTTCTAAAGAGGACCAATGGAGTGGGCTCGGTGGGGGGCGAAGGGGGGGGGCAGAAACGCCTCCAAAACCTGAAGCGCTTGGCAGGCTGGCTGCCATCACTCAGGGGGTGACTGTGGAACTGGGAAGCATACTGGACCCCAAGCGAGAGGACCCAGCCTGAGTTCTGGCCCCCCACCCAGCAGTGTATGCGCTTGGGCCAAGCTCCTGCCCTGCACGGTCCCCCAGCCAGGCACTCCACTGGGTCCACTGCACAGGGCTGGGTGGGCACAGGGCGGCGGTCTGGCCTGTAAACCACCCCCACCCCAGGTCTGTGAACCCCAAAGGACAGAGTGTTCTGAGGCCCCTGCGAGGGCGCCCCTGGCCGGCCTCACCTTCCTCTTGCTTCAGAGTGAGGTGCTCCTCGGCCCGCGCCTCCCAGTTCTGATACAAGTTTAGGAGGCAGTGTTCTTCCAGGTCCTGCCTGCAGAGGGCAGACCGGCCGGGTCCATATCCGGCTGCACCCAGAGCCAGAGCAGGGCTAGGGGGGAAGCCGGGGCAGCGGAGCCCATGGGCAGGGCCCTGGGCGAGGCTTTGAGGGGTCAGAGAGACTGAGTGACCCAGAGGAAGGGCGGGACGGGGGTGAAGGACACGAGGGAGGGAAAGGGGTCCGAAATGGGAACGGAGACCTACATATGGGGGCATAGAGCTGGGAGGGAGGACAGAAATGAGGGGAAGCGGGGAGGACACACAGGAGGAAACAGACAGGGCTACTGACGGGGCCAAGAGTCTGGGAGGGAGATGCCAGGGACAACGGGACAGAGCTCAGAGCCTCTTTTCGGGGGGCTCTTACCGTGCCTTGACCTGGGCCAGGCTTCTCTCGCTGCTGTGGTGCACGAACACTGTCTTTCTCCAGCCCAGGTCCAGGGTGGGCGCTGGCAGGACCGTGGCAGGTACAGAGGCCGGGACAGGGGCTCCCACAGCGGCAGGGATGGGCCCAGGGGCTGGCGACCGGACCCAGGACGGGGCCATGGCAGGGGCCGAGGCAGGGGTCTGAGGCAGTGTCAGGGGCAGGTTTGAGGCTGAGTTGCCAACCGGGGCTGAGGTGGGCACGGGGGTCAGGGTCTTGGGGGCCTTCCGGTTTGGCAGGGCCCGGGCCTTGGCGGCCCTCCGATGCATGGCCTCCTCCTCCTCCACCTCCAGCAGGCACTTCATGAAGCCCTGCCCGGTGCTCCCGAGGCCCTGGGCTCCCGTGGTCGCTGTGGGCTCCCGCGGCTGCTTCGGGGCACAGCCCGGCTCCCTTCTCTCTCCAATGTCCCTCACCTCCTGGGGACAGAATGGAGGGAGGACGTGTGGCCTTCAGCCAGCCACACGGCCCCACAGAGTTCCTTGGTGCCACCTACTGCCCAGGGCATCCTCACACGGCCCCTTCCTCTCTGGGCCCTGGAGCCCGTTGCCCAGTCGATAGAGCGTCGGCCTGCGGACTGAAGGGTCCCAGGTTCGATTCTGGCCAAGGGCACATGCCTGGATTGTGGGCTTGATCCCCAGTAGGGGGCGTGCAGGAGGCAGCTGATCGATGTTCCTCTGTCATTGATGTTTCTAACTCTCTATCTCTCTCCCTTCCTCTCTGTAAAAAATCAATAAAATATATTAAAAATAAAAATAAAAAAAAAATAAAATGCAGCTCTTGCCACACACCCTCTTTTCCTAAAGCATCAGCTCTACTTCGCCACCAGGTTGCTCCCATCAGCCTGTAAGCATGCCAGAGTATCTTCCTTCTTCTTTAAAAATATATTTTATTGATTTCAGAGAGGAAGGGAGAGGGAGAAAGAGATAGAAACATCAGTGATGAGAGAGAATCATTGATCAGCTGCCTCCTGCACGCCCCCTACTGGGGATCAAGCCTGTATCGCAGGCATGTGCCCTGATCAGGAATCGAACCCGGGACCCTTCAGTCCATAGGCTGAAGCTCTAGCCACTGAGCCAAACTGGCCAGGGCAATCTTTCTTCTTTAAGAGAAAAATAGTCTCCTGACACCACAAACCCTCCAGCTACTGTCCCAGTTTTCTCCTCTGATGCTTCTGGCCTTTCAATGACACGTGAGGTCAGATCGCCGGCCCAGAAGCCTGGCGAGGAGAGTGCTGTTGTGAAATGGCATCCTGGGGCGGAGGGGAGGGCAGCACGGCCGGGGAACAGCAGAGGACTGCCAGGAGATTCCGACAGTAGTGGTCATTGCTGGAGAGTGAAGCCCATCAGCAAGGCAGGGTTTCTCTCCAGCCGTGTCGAGCTGCTCATGTGCAGGCAGAGGGTAAGCGGGAGGCTGGTTTAGCCAGGGTTGGGGCTTGGCCAGTGACAGGAGCAGAAAGGGGCGGGGGCAGGTGAGGACTGTGCTTTCACAGGCTGCCCAGAAGTGGCAGAGCTGGAGAGGGGGTGCTGGGACGCGAGAGGGAGCCCCCAGATGTTCAGGGAAGCTTTGGATTGTATGCTGTGATCGAGAGCAAATGGGTGAGAAAAAATCTATGCCGGTGTGGGAAAAGCCGCGACACAACCTGGGGTGAACACAAGGGCTCCAGGGTGTAAAAGCGTCCTTGATCCGCCCCCGCAAGATGCACACATATACAGATGTGCAAACACACATGGACACACATGCACATGCATGTGCACACACACAGGCACACACCTTCCCCAGTTTGACTCCAAATACTATCCCATTTCTGCCTCTGCCCCCTTCCTCCTTAGGAGCCCCTGCACCTCTCCCCATCCCCCTCCACCTCTCCCCATACCCCTCCACCTCTCCCCATCCCCCTCCACCTCTCCCCATCCCCCTCCACCTCTCCCCATCCCCCTCCACCTCTCCCCATCCCCATTCTGGCTCTACTTACTGGTGGAGGAACAGGCCCCGGTGCTGGCTTGGTCTCCGCAGCCTTGACCCTAAACAAGGGAGAAACCCCAGTGGGGGAGGGGCTCAGTTTAAGGCATGGCCCTTGCACTCCCTTCTCTCAGCCCCCAGGACCCTCAGGTCCACCATCCCAGCATCACCCCCCTGGCCTTTTCATCTCAGAGGGGCTCCCATTCTCTCACAAACCCCCTGTGGGGCATGGCCTATAAAGTGCAGGCCCACAAAATAAACAATTTTAGTGTTGGAGCCATTGTACAGATGGGGACATTGAGACCCAGAGAGCCATGACCTGCCCCGGGCCCTCCACCAGGTCAGGAGCAGCCAGGACTAGAATTCGCCTCACCTGGAACGCGGCAGAAGAGCCATCTAGCTGGGTCAGGGAGTGGGTGGGGGTGGCATCAGGAGATGGCTTACCCTTCTTTGGGTGTGTTAGGTCGTGGCGTGGATGGCGGGAAGGAGTTGCCAGTCTTCTCCGGAGTTGTTGGCATGCGGGGCATTGCTTCCTGAGAACCGTCTTTGTCTCCCCCTGGGCCAGGCTCTGGCAGGGTCCCCTGTGGCCTAAAGGGTGGGGTGCCTGCCTCCTCGAGGGGCTTGTCTTCCAAGTACTGTCCACAACAGTCCAAGGTGCAAGAACGCTCTGCTGTCTGCACTATATCTGACCCATTTGCTGCCTGGTGACCTGGGGTGGGCTGGCGACAAGGACAGCAAGATGGGGAGCCCCACCCTGGCCGATTTTCGACAAAGGTGAAAATTCAGCAGAGAAGGGCAGTTGTCAGCAAACGGTGCTGGAACAATCGCATAGCCACGTGCCAGAAACGAGTCTCGGTCCAACACTCGTACCGCTTACAAAAATCACTCACCGTACCCTAACCATCTCTCACTGGGTCCCACACGCTAAGACACAGCTTCTAGGATATCCTGGCGTAAAGAAACCTGTTGGAGCTCCGTTGAACCCAGCATGTCCCAGTGTTAATTGTATGCAGAGCCCCACTTACCTGCTTCCTGCCTCAGGTACCCACTGACATACCATAGGGCCACCCTGGACACACGTCTTAAAGGCTTGCTATGGACAATCAAGACCAATGGGATATCCCAGTGACCCACACAGACTGCGTGCTGGGCACCTCCGCGGCACAGAGAGGAGCAGGCACAAGGCACCAGTGGGGTTTGGGGGCCCCTTCGCGTCCCTGTGGGTCAGCCATTCCCTGCCTTCCTGCCCAGTTCTCCACAAACATTACCTGGCACCTCCTGGGGGCCTGACCCTTCCCTGTCCCGGGGTTCTGCTGTCTCCCCTGCAGGTCCTTGGTCTCCTGCCCTGAGCCCTGCTGCTGCAGCCCTTCAGGTGCTGGGGAGACCCTGGAAGGCAGCACCCCCAGCTCACTTCCTGGCTTGGCCTGGTCCTGGCCTACTTGCAGCTCCTCGGGCCGTTCCTCGGGGGCCCAAGATGGCAGTTTCTTCCTGGAAGAACAAAGGGACTTATCAGCTCCTGGACTGGGGCAGAGTTTTACATCCTCACTGGAAGATTCGTGCACATTGAAAGTAAATTAATTAGAAGGTGGCCAGCAGAGCGGGAATGGGTGAGACAGGCCGGACACGCCCTGGAGCCAACCTCCCACAGTCTCTCCCGGCCGGCCTGCACCTGGGGTGGCACCAGGGCTCAAAGGGCATCTGCAGAGTGAGCAGGGTCCCTCTGGCAGATGGGGTCCCTCGGCCTGGCCTGCGGGGATAGGGTGGAAACTGGCAGTCCAACATTCCCTGAGGGGTCCGCGGATGGCAAGAAGGTGGTTCTTGGGTGACACCCCCCGGAATTGGGCTCCCTCTACTCTGGTTCCAGGTGTGTCACCCGAAAACCATAACTGCCAAGTCACCGCAGCTTGGCAGCTCCTGTGTCGAGCGTCTGCCCCCTGGTGGTCAATGCGTGTCATAGCTACCAGTCAGCTGGTCGAATGGTCACTTAGGCTTTTATATATATAGCTACTTCTTTGTAGTTCCCAGAGCACTGGTGCAGGACCAGGCACAGCAGGGGTGCATACTTAATGCCTGGGAGAATGGATGAAGGACTGACATGAATTCCCCAAATCATAAACACTTTGATGTCAATGTTAAAGGGAGTTAGGACAGTGATGGCGAACCTATGACACGCGTGTCAGAGGTGACATGCGAACTCATTTTTTTGGTAGAGTTTTCTTTGTTAAATGGCATTTAAATATATAAAATAAATAAAGCCTTGGGTCTATTGACCACAGAGATGGAGTTTCAATCAAACTAAAGATAACATCTAGGCCTCGATTGTGTTTCAGCTTCAATCCACTGAGCCAAACCGGTTAGGGCAGGATTTACTATTCTTATTATTTATTCTTTTTAAGAAAAATTAAAGGGAACTGGAATTCAGAGAGGTTGAGAGACTCGAGCCTCGGGTCAAAGAGCTCAAGGTGAGAGCTCGGGGTTTGAATCTGTGTCTATGAGTGCCCCTCAAATACTCTAGAGCAGTTCCCCCAGGCTTCTTCCTGTGGACATACACACATATTGGTAATGAGGATTTATTTTATTACCCTCTGCAAGTAATTGCATCATTTCACATGGTTAAAATTCTATTGCATCTACAGTTTTTCATTTAACAGTATAGCCTAAGTTTTTCTCATTACAAAAGTCTTTTATAAACATGCTTTTTAATAAAAAGTCTTTTATAAACATACTAGAGGCCTGGTGCATGAAATTTCATGCACGGGTAGGGTCCCGAGGCCTGGCCAGCGATCAGGGATGATTGGGCGCCTTCCGGCTGCCAGCCAGGGCCTTCCTTCAGTATGCATCGCTCCCTGGTGGTCAGCGCACGTCATAGCGAATGATCAAACTTCCAGTCTCTGGGTTGAACAGCCCGGGGGGCGCTTTGCATATTAGCCTTATATATATATATAGATTTTCTAGAGAATCATAATTTACTTAACTGTTTTTCTATTTGGGCACTTAGGGCACATGGGCAGTTCCAATCTTTTAGTGTTTAAAAAAATGTGACAGTGAACATTTTTCTGCATAAAACTTTGCCTGATTCTCCAGTGATTTCCTTAGGGCATATTTCTGGAATTGGGCAAAAGATGGTTAGAAGTCAGTTTATTTATTTTTGTTAATCCTCATCCGAAGATATTTTACCATTGATTTTTTAGGGAGAGTGGAAGAGAAAGGGAAAGACAGAGAGAAACATGAATATGAGAGAAACACATCCACTGATTGCCTCCTGCACACGCCTCAACCAGGGCTCAGGCCAGGGAGGAGCCTGCAACCAAGATACGTGCCCTTGACTGGAATCAAACCCGGGACCCTTTGGACCTCGTGAGGGACGCTCTATCCACTGAGCCAAACTGGCTAGGGCTAGAAGTCAGCTTAACCAAATTGCCCAGTTGTTCCAGTAGAAACAGTTTATATTTCCACCAGCATGCTATGCAGCACGTGTCTCCAGGGACTCAAACCTGGCTTTGATGGAGTCCCTTAACTTTTCGCGGAGAAGAGATTACTTAGAGATTTTTGGTTATAATCAAACTTAAACAACAAGCTAACCAGGCTTCACTATTACTGTTTCCCAAGTCTTTTCACTTTGCCTTTCTCTGGCTCCCTCTTGACTTGCTCTTTTTTGGAAAGAATACATTCTCACTGCAGACAAGTTTAAAACATATATCCAACATTTAGAAAACAGTAACAATAATTCCATGTAAACGTTTGTGTCCTTGTCTCTCAGCCTCTCTTTTGTTCCCTTTTTAAAATATTAACTCAGTGAATACATATTTATTGAGCATCTACTATGCACCAGGCACAACCCCAGGCCTGAGGAATTTGAGGTGGAACAGAACAGAAGCGTGTGGCCCAGCAGGGGAGCTCAGACAACGGCTGACACACATATTTAGTGTGATTTGTGCGAAGAACCAGTTCAGGCGCTGTGAGTGGGGTGTCCACCTTGGTCTGGGAGTACTCCCCCCTCCCTCTCGGCGCTCTCCCCGCACCGCGCCCCCCCCTCTTGGGTCACAGGGCGTTCTCTCCTGGGCCTGCTCTCTGGGAAGCCCCCAGCTCACCCTAGGTCTGCCAGGTGACTCTGCTCCTGGGCCCTGGGCTCCGGAGGCCCCTCCTCTGTTGCTTCTCTGTGTCCGGGCCGCTTCTCGGGCCGTTCTGGGGCCGGCGAGGGCTCCCTCCCACTGCCCATCCCTGCAGCATCTGGAAACTCGACCTGGAACAAAGATGCTCTGTGAGCACCCATTCTGGAGGGATACCCCCCACTCCCTGGGCGCCCTCCTGGCCTCGGGGACAGGGAGGTTCTGTGCCTGCCCAGGGAGTGTGTTGGAAAGAGGAAGGGCAGAGACAAGAGGCAGGGAGAGAGAGGCTGGGGGCAGAGCCAGCCGAGCTGAGCGGCTGTCGGTCAGGACTCGGCTCTGACATAAACCTGGGGTCCTGAGTAGTACCTGGGCCAAGGGTCTCCTGCCTAGGAAGGCTTGACAGAGCACCCGGGGGACTTGGGGACCCTCACCAGGTCCCAGCGAGGCTTCCACAGTTTCCACCATTTCAGAGCTCAGGCTCTGAAACTGGGCTGTGGTGCCCCTCTTGGTCTGTCACTCCTAGCTGGGTGACCTTGAGCCAGTGACATAGAGCCAGCTCCAAACCTCACCTGAGTCAGCAAAATCCAGACAACCCAGCTCATCCATCACGCGATGATAAGTGACATAAGATTTTGATGTGAGCCAACACTAAGGGCGCCTACCGGAAGGCAGGGCCTGTGCCAGGTGCCCCAGGGATGTCACCCAGTTGGTCCTCACCATGACACACATGAATAGTGGGGCTCAAAGGGGTGCAGTGCCATGCCCAAGGTCACGCGGCTGGTTGAGTGAGGGAGCTGGACCCCATGACTGTGCTGTTGGAAAAATGAATGGGGGGGGGGGGTGGAGGAAGCCCTGGATGTTTGCCTCAGCCTCCCTTCTGGACCCCCTGAGGCCCTCTCCTGCCCCCAAGCGAAGCCATGTTTTATATCAGGGGCTACAGCGAGGGGGCGATACTTCACCCAAGGGAACGTTGGCCTTTTTTATGGTGACATTTTGGGCTCTGGGGTAACTAGATAGGAAGGTGAGTCTTCTCTGTGCTCTCAGTTTGTGCCACTTGACACTAAAGAAATTGATGGAAGGAGGCTGTGGAGTGCGTTGAAGGCTTAGGACGCAGGCTGGGGGCTGGGGAGGGGCCCGGATGGAAACCTCCAGCAGTTGTCAGGGGAATAAAGGTTATAAGGGGAGCTGGAGGCACCTAGTAGAATAAGCAGTTTCTCTCTGGCAACAGAAGCCAGCATCCTTTTAATGGGAACCTTTCCTTCTCTATTCTGTCAGTGGGGCTCAGTGGACCCCTGGCTCCATTATGCCAGGAGATCCAGGCCATGGTGGCTGGTTCTGAGATAAGCACGTGAACATAATCTGGGCCAACGGCAGTGATGCCAGGCTTCCCTGAACCCTTGCAGAGGCTCTCCTCCTTCTGCTAAAGTCAGAAGACCTAAGCGAGGAAGATGTACGCCTGGAGTGGCCAAGGCAATACTTGCCATCTTGCAGGAAGAGCCTGCCTGGGAATGGTACAGAGGAAGGCAGCGCCTAGAGACACTTGTTCGGCACCTTGATCCAGCCATACCTGAAGTCCACTGATGGATTTGTCAGTTACCCAAGCGGATGTGTTCTCCTTCCTGCCTACTCCAGTTTGAATTGGGTTTCGTGTCACTTCTAACTGGGTCTTAACTGAAGCAGTTGCGGGAGGAGCCGGGGCAGGGAAGGGGAAAGGTGTTCTTGGGAGCAGAGAGATCAGAACATGAGGTACAGGTCCTTACCTGGTTGACTCCTGATATGGCAGACTCAACACCAGCACTCTTTCTGGCAGTCCTCAGGCCAGGACTTGGCTGGGCCCCTGGAGACTTGATCGTATCCTCCATGTACATCTGGGCGTTTCTGTTGTCCATTGTGCCAAGGCCAACGAGGGTACCACAGGGGAAATCCAATCAAAGTTCTACCTAGCCCCTGACCTAACCACCTCTCCAGGCGTCTACATGCAGCCTGTAATGTAGGGACCCTCCCTGCTCAAGGGCAGAGGCCTGGCCTGGCACAGGAGGGGCACACAGCAGAACCAGAGAGGTAACCACATGCAGCTTACCCACCTATTTTCCCTACTTCTCACAACAACTCTGAGGAAAAGGAGACTCTAGGAAGCAAAGTGACTTGGCCCACCTCCAACACTAACTAGGTCACAGAGCAGGAATCGAACCATGGCCTGTTGCATCCCCTACTGCAAACCCATGCCTTTTCCCCTATAGCAGCATTTCCCAATGGTGTTCTTTGGAATATGCGTTGCACAAGGTGTGCTGCAAGAAAAGGGTTCTTGTAGGCCAAATGTGTGTGGCGTGTGCTGAGTGGAAATTAAACAGGCTCCGTCCTGCAGGACTTGTCAGAGCTTTTAATATACTAGCATGCATTTTAAAGAGAACATCACGGTTGCTGCTGCTATAGATGAAAACTCTTAAGTTCTTCCTGGGGCTAAGGAACAGGAGTTGGGGCCATCTGCGTGTGGGGGACCCTAAAATCTCCAGTGACAATATGTAGTTCATCAAAGCACCCCCACCCTGCCCTGGACATGTCCCTTTCTAAAGCCTTTCTGAGCGTCTCTCTTGCCTCTCCCACCTAACTTCACTTTCTGCCGTACCGCCCTCCCCTACCCAAACATTCTGCTTTAATCTAGGCAGACTCCTGCAATCCTAACGCCACAGACCCCCAGCCTCTGTGCCCGCCTCCCACTTCTCGGTCTCTCCAACACCCCCCACCCCATCCTTCAAGCTCCTACTTCTTTTCCGAGCTTCCAACCACCTCAGCCCTCTCTCCAGCCTCTGAATTCCTTTGAGGCAACATCAACACCATTTCTATGGGCACATCATGGACCCCTTTTCTAGGGGTGAACCCTACCCCTCAGTGAGACCATGTGACCTTGAAGCTCTTGATGGGATTTCTTCCACTTTAAATCACGGCTGGCCAGCCAACATCCACGGAGGGGCCTTCTCTATGCTGGCCACGTTTGCTATCCACCCTGTGAGGTCACTGTGTTGGTCCTGTGTAAGGTCCCCCAGGAACGGCCTGAGGAGCTGCAAGATCCCACGTGCTGGATCTTTAAAGGAATGCCAGGAAACCAAGGCTCAGAGCAGCTCAGTGTCTTGTCCAATGCCACATGGCTGGCCTGGCCCGCGTGGCTCAGTGGTTGAGCATCGACCTATGAACCAGGAGGTCACGGTTCGATTCCCGGTCAGGGCACATGCCCGGGTTGTGGGCTCCATCCCCAGTGTGGGGAATGCAGGGGGCAGCCGATCAATGGTTCTCTCTCATTGATGTTTCTATCTCTCTCTCCCTCTCCCTTCCTCTGTGAAACCAATAAAAATATATTTGGGGGGAAAAATCCCACATGGCTGGCCTGCAGAGGAACTGGATTCAAACCCAGGCCCGTGTGACTCCCAAAACTGCTTATCCCACCAAGTTATCTTGCCTCGAAAGCAGCTGACGCCCATGCAATCCACAATTGTCTAACGGACATGTGCTGGTGCCGGGCACCATGCCAGGCCTGGGAATGCACCAGGTGTTCTGGTAGCTCACACGTTTTTACCAGGAGCACAGAGGAGGAGCCCCTAACAGCTGCTGACCAAAACGCCCCCTCCCTCTCTCTTTCCTCCCAACCTTGTCTGCCCCCCAGCCCTTCCTGCAATTAGGCTTGCACCCCCACAATGCAAGCAAGACCGCTGCTCCCAGGTGACCCCGCACCCCAGGCGGCAGCTCGAGGCTCCCCAAGGCCCTAGGCTCTCACTTGGCGTGAAGAAGTCAGTATTGTGACCAAGTCCCTCTCTCTTCCCTCGGAGCTCCTCTCTCCTCCCTGCCTCTCTCCCATCAGGGCTCCCTAAGCATTCCCAGGGGTGGGTGACCCATGGGGGAAACCTCCCGCCAGGCCCCTCAAACACGCCCCCCATTGTTCACACTCCTACCTCAGAAAGCGCAGGCTCAGTCTTGGAATTCTCAGGCCCCGGTATTCCACCAGCTGAAGTTTGGGGGGTGGGCAGGGGTCCCAGAGGACGTCCCCATCGGGAGCTACAAATCAAGAATCTGGGCAAGAAGGGAAGCCCCACCCTAGCAGGAAGGCATGGGACCTGAGGATAGAATTGAGGGGTGTGGTGGCAACCATGGACTGTGCCCACCCCACCCCCACCTCATTTGGGCCATTTGGTGCCCCTTTTCCCACAGCTGTGTTGAGATTTAATTCACATACCACACACTCACTCGTTTCAAGTGTACAGTTCAATGGCTTTTAGTATATTCACAGAACTGTGCCAGCATCACCCTTAGAGCATTCTGTCACCCCCAAAAGAAAGCCCACACCCTCAACCCTCGTGCACCCCCCACCCCCCGCCACCACAATAACTCCAGTAACCATCTGCCATCGTAAGAAATTATTACAATAACATGACCATTCTCCCTAAGCGGTACATTACATCCAGACGACTTCTTTTTCAGATAACCGGAGGTTTTGGCAACCATCAGTTTGTTCTCTGTATTTATGAATCTATTTATTCATTTATTGTTTGTCAGATTCCACATATCGACTTTGATCTTTTCCAAGATCCTTCTGGCACCCTTGTAAGCGTTTTCCCCATCTGAGGAAGGGGGCATTTCTCTTAGAAATGTCTAGGACGGTAGGAAAATACCACAGAGAAAGCTGACGAGTGACCTGTGGTATATATTTCTGGAGGCCAGCCAGGAAGCTGCTCACATCTAACCCGCACCTTGGCCCTGCGCCTACCACAACGCAGAGGGAGGAATCCCCCCCAGATGAGGCACCCTGCTCACCTCCTCGCACGGGGAGGGCGCTGCTGAGCCCCTCCTCTGCCTGGTGGCTGAACTGAGTTCGTTGGCTAAACACCGTAGGTGACCGGTGAGGAGCGGTAGGTCCGGGTATTGTCAGCAGCAGAGGTTTAGGAAGACGTGTCAGGAATGAGTGTCCAGCCTGGGGCTGGGGTTTGAGGGTAAGGCAAGGGACTGTCCGACCTCCAACTAGACGGCAGTGCCGTCCCCGGGGCTTGGCACTCCTCCAGGGGCCTCCGCTACACACTGAGGACAGCAATCCGTGCACTGCCCACCTCACAGGGCTGACTGTGCCAAGACCACCTCTTTCAATAAACAAGCAAATAAACAAAAAATAAAATTACAAACAGCAGCAGCTACAACAAAAGATCGCCTGTTTCGGAGAGCGTTTCCCTGACTGTCCCAGGCTGAGAGGTGTCTCTTCTCTTTGCTCCCTCAGCCCCTGGGAGTTCCCTCCATCAGGCACTCCTCACTCTGCATTGCAAAGGACTTTCCCCCTGTGTCTCCCACGGTATTTGAGCTCCACGAGGGCAAAAGCAGGGTGGGCCTCATCTCCGTGGCCCCAGCACCGAGCACCTGGCACCTGGTAAGTGCTCAACGCCCCTCGTCTTTGTTGGTGGGAACTGAACCGAAAGTGCTGAGTACATTGTAAGACGGGGCTGCCTGGGTACAGCGTGACGGTTCCCTTTGCGGTTCATGAGGGGAAGGTTTCCTACCTGACACAGCTACTGTGGGCCACCGTGGGCCACCGTCACACGGCTGGGCCTGCAGAGTGACGGATGGAACTTGGTGCTGATAGCAGGTATCACCCCACAGTTCAGCTCTCACGAGCTGGATCGAGACGTTCTCAGAGCTGGAAGGTCCTCGGACTCCATGGGTCCAGGGGCTTTACTCCTGGGATACCCGATTTTCCCGGTGTTGCTGGGCACACATGGATACAAGGAGTCGGAGTGTGAAAGAGAAGACACGGTGGCCCAGCCCCAAATTGGCATTGGGATGCAGCCAATTGAACACACACACACACACACACACACACACACACACACACACACGAGACACACTCATTCATTCATTCACTGAGCTCTTACTCTGTGCCAGGCCCTGTGCTGCTGAATCCAGGGATCCACGGGTGGCAGGGACAGGTTCCCACATCCAAGAAGCTCTCGGTCTAGTGGAAAAGCAGACATAAACAAACGCTGAGAACGGGAGGGGATACGATTGTCCATGTGGGAGTGTGCCCTCCCCTCCCCTCTCCTCTCAATCGCTCTCCCCTTCACCTTCTAAGGGAAGGTCTGTCCTTGCCACCCCAGAAGGTTAAGAAAACGAGAGGCAGGGCCAAAGAAGTAGGAGGAAGAAATCTCATCTTCTGGGTCATTGCTCAATGTCTCCTTTGCTGTGGAGAATCAGGGTAATGAGCAGAGTTGAAATTAGAGGTTAAGTCAATTCACCTAAAAAGAGGTGAACATCACGCCCTCCAGAATGGCTATTACCAAAGAAAATGGAAAATAACAATTATTGCCCGGCCAGCGTGGCTCAGCGGTTGAGCATTGACCCACGAACCAGGACGTCAATAAAAATACATTTAAAAAAAAAAAGAGAGAGAGAGAGAGAGAGAGAGAAGCCCTAGCGGACTGAAGGGTCCTGGGTTCAATTCCAGTCAAGGGCACATGCCCGGTTGCAGGCTCAGTCCCCAGTGTAGGAGGCAGCCAATCAATGATTCTCTCTCATCATTGATGTTTCTATCTCCCTCTCTCTCCCTCTCCCTTCCTCTCTGAAACCATCTACTTAAAAAAATGAAGGGATAAAATTTCTTTGCTAAGAGAGAGAGAGAGAGAGAGAGGAGAGAGGAACCTTACTTTCCAGAGAAAAAGGAGGACATTGGGAAGGGGTGCTTTGAAGGAAAGTCGCTGGAGGAAAGTGCGAGTTCAGGGTGGTGATTGCTTCTCATAGATTGAATATCGAGAGTTCCCATTGGCTGGGCTTGTTGCTGGGGGGTGGGGGGTGTCAAGGAGAAAAATCCTCCTTCTCGAAAAATGAATGTCCCCTGGCTCCATTATGCCAGGAGATCCAG